AGAGAACCCCAAGGACTCCACAGTTCAACCCTGAGCTACACATATTCTCTTCTATTGGAATTATTTATTGTAGGGTAACATTCTTGAGTTTGGCCAACTCCTTAATTCTGTTAGCAATTTGCAAGTAAGCCAATCTTCAACCGGTTCATTTATTCAGAAGGAACAACAAATGGGTTGTAAAAACAACAACAAGGAATGTCGTTGACAGGAGGCAGAAGAGATTACCAGATTCTTCCTCCTGGGGCTCAAGTGCCTCAAAATGAGGGCCTCATTTAGCAGTTTGTAAACATGGGAAAGTATGTTTTTGTTCTTCCAAGATTCCCTAGCTTTTTCCACTGCACAGCTGACTGCATAAATTCCCTTCTCCAGGGAGGTTTTTGCTTTCTCATTTCTGTCACAGGGAAGCCAAGTCTGCTTGTATTACAGAATATTACAAGTATATTTTAAGCTAATTTAGACTGCATCAGTTTAGCACATCTGCCTCTTATCATCTATTTCTTAGGCTTATATTGGTATCCCAACCTTCCACAAATAAGTCTAGGGTACAAATATGCTACCTCTCTCCCCTCACTTTATCATCATAACAACCTTGACAGATATGCCAGGCTGAGCAATACTGGCCAGCCAAGGTCATTCAGTCAGAGGAGATTTTTATCTAGGTTTCTCTTCAGATGAAACATGACATCACAAGACATCTGTCCTACTGGATGCCACCCATATTAACTTGGATTTTCTGTTTGAAGATCTCTTGAATTTTTATTTGAATTTCCTTGAGAGCACTTTTTTTTTTTTTTAACCAAAACAGTGTATAAATACTCTTTTAATAAAAATGAGTAATTCACCAGTACTGAATAAGGTTAATAAACTAAACACTGTGGTTTGGGGGCTACAATCCTGTACAACCTATTTGGACATAAGTTGGCTGGCATTTTTTTTTTTTTTGGTGGGGGGGAGAATATACATCTTATTGAACATTTTAAGAAAAAATACATAAACAGAAAAGGAAAAAAAATAAAAAGGGAGTGAAGAGTAGAATGTACATGTAGAAGCAAAGGATTTACAAGTATCATAGAAATTAAGTTTTTTCAGTATTTCATTAATTCATTATAAGTGAGTATATTTTATCATTTAAAAAAATAAAAATTTCTATTAAACTCTAAACAGAACATAAATATCACTGGTCAGCACAGTATAAATTGTAAAATGAAACTGTAAACTATGATAAATTCTATCCATACTACTAGAAGTCTATACTAATTTAGTAGTATGGACAATATTTACCATTTTTCAGCCTTTGGGCAAACATGAAGTATGGCATTTTTTAAATTATTATTTTTTGCAAGCAATAATAACAAAAGACCAGGAAGTACTAGATGGCTGGGGTTCATAATGCTGACTGGAGAGGAGGGTGAAGCCACAGTTAACAAGCTTCTTGACCATCTCTGGCATGATGAGCAGTCCGGTTCCTCCACCATGATTAATGTTTAGGATACTACGTGCACACAATCACTGCATTCAGCTTATCTGCTAATCCCTTTTTCCTCCTTGCTCAAGGTTCTGATCTGCCCTTTTTTCTAAGGACAAATACTGGGCACATTGGGAACTGGCAAATGTCTAAAGGCCACTAGGCTGGGAAATGCTAAACTAAAATAATAATATTATTATATTTAATAATATAGTGGCTCTCTTTACACAGTAAAAATGACAGAGCCTTCTCCTCTTCATCTGATTCAGCTTTCTGCACCAGCAACACATAAGAACTGGATTTTTATGAACTGGCCATTTTTACATTGCTCTTAGGAACAGAGAACAAGGAAGTGAGGCTCCCACATTTTATCTCACTCCCCATATATTAATTGATTTAGACATCAGAGCAAATTAAAAAAGCAAACAATGATGGGATCAGGGTTGGTGCAATTGAGCCCAGTACCATTATGGTTAGGACTGGCAGGGAGCTGTCCCCCCATTTTCCATGGCTCCTTCTTGTATGGTGTAATGGTATGTGGGAATGACTTTGGGAGACAGGGGAAGAGCCCTAGATAAGAGGCAGCTTAGCCTGCAGAAGGAATGAGGTGTGGCAAACGTCTCAGAAGGGACCCTCCCTAGTGTCTTGGGCTGTAAAGGCAACGGGGGCAGAGATGTACTTTCAGTCTTGCAAGATTCTGTTAATGTAACCTTACAATAAAGTAGAGCTAGTACTTCTGGGCATACTTCCTGTCCTGTCTGAACTACCTCGCAAGGCTGACATATGGCCATAAGAGGTAGAATTTAGAATGGTGGCAGAGACAAGATTCCTAAACAGCCGCTTTTTTGTAGTGCCTTTATAGGACGTCCTTTCAGTCTCAGTAGAAGTAAGCATTGGTTAATCCCCAGGACAGCAGTTTGCATAACACAACTGACTGTGGGGATTACGTTAACCACAAGGAAGACTAGATCAGTTTGGAGCTAAATCTAACCTTTATGGGGTTAAAAGGCTGGGCGCATGACATGCTAGCCCCCATCTCATGTAATAGGCAAGCCTGATGTGCAAAAACGAGGCCACTGATTACCAATCTGTAAAGCCAAGTTAGGGAATTACTACTGGAGCAAACTGTTGTGAGCTGGGGATTCCTGGGTTGAAGGCTAGACTGGGAGGTCCAGAAAAAATCAGGGAAGGATGGAGCTTCCATGAGGCTGCCCAGAAAACTGCACAGATGCATCACCAACAGCCAAGCTCAACTTGAGGGCTTGTTCACTTAAAACACATGCTAATGTTAGGCAGGTCTCTTTGCTGCCAACTAGTAGTCATCCTGATATTTGCAGCCCGAATTTGATAACTCTACACAAATTAGAGCTGGACTCTCTGTACTCTAATGATAGAAACCTGTGGTGGTTAGTAGTAAAGGAAAAGCAGTTTGTGTATGCTGAAAGTCTTTTAGTTCTATTCTCCCTCGTGGAGAAATGTCAGAAGATTAAAGCCACTTCCGGCCTTGCTTCCAAAACCAAATCTATCGTACAAATTATAATCATACAGTTTATTTTACCCCTGTTGCAATGATGACTGTGACAAAGAAATTTGAGCGTGGGCAAGACCCATCTGCTTCCTCTACTTTGGGTAGATTCCAGCAACTGTTACTCCAAGCAGCAGATACTGTTTCATTACACAATCTGGAGGGATGTCCCTATAGACAAAAAATAGTTTCTTTCCAAGCACTGAATTGAGGTACTTACAACTGGTGGTTCATTTTGTAAATTGTGTAGGACTTCCTTTGTTTAAATCAATTTGGGGTATTAGGTTAGCTGGGTTTCCTCCTCCGAGATGATGAAAGGAAGAGCTGTAGCCTTGGGGGGGGGAGGAAATATGCAGTAGATCTTCCCTGCCCCATGAGCCTCTAAACAATCCTGCACCTCTGTGCCATCCACACAGTTAAATGACCCTCCTGTCCAGAGGGCTCTTGGGTGGT